ACAACAGGTCTCAAACTATGTCTGGTGGAGTTTGTGCATTCAGTTTCTTACTACTGGTTAAAATGCAGTTTGGATCTCTTGCCTCCATGGTCCCAGTTTGGAAGGACTGAAAATGTTGGCAGTAGGTGACAAACCTTAACTTCTTGTTTCCCTCTTTCCACTGTCAGAATAACATGTTCAGAAAAGATGAAGCCTGCAACATGTACGTATCCTGGCATTCAGCAGGAGAAACCTTTAGGTGTATGAGTTCACTAGAGTATGGGAAACATGGCTTCGCTGTAGAGCTTTGAATATTCAGCACTTTGTTCCCAAAGCTGAATAAGACTTCCTCTATGGGGTGCTTCCTCTATAGAGAGCAAGGTGGGGTTGGAGACAGGCACTCTCAGGGAGTGATACACCAAAGACAACACACCAACTCCCAGCACTCCTCTGGCACTCCTAAATATTAGTGGCATCTGATTTTTAATAAGCTAAATCAAGCTGCATCTCTGCTGACAATCAGTATGTGTGTGCGTGTATATGTGTGTGTATTTTTTATCTCAATGTGACTCATATTTCATAGTTGTCACTATGCTTGCTAAATCATTTCTCCAAATTCCCCGAATAGTTATGCACCCATATATGTTTAAAATGGAAGGACTATGACAAATAATTTCATTAGACACACTGTATATTCGAGGAAATAGAGAAGGTTCAAAAAGAATGATACAGAAGAACTGTATTGAAAGGAGTAGGGAAAGCAGGTGTTGGAAAACAAGGTGGCCTTGTTTTCTTTGATATTACTCTCGAAACATTTCTAGATGAGGACTAAGGAAGATGTCTCAGAGTTGTTGGGACTACTGTCAGAGGGAAATCAGATAAGTTGTCCTGTTAAGATGGTATTTATTTAAAAAAAGATTTAAAAATATGCAGTATAAATAAAGCTTTCTAATGAGAAAGAGAACTAATATGTGCACACAGTTTTAAATGGAAAATGAGAAAATCTGGGAAAAGAAAAACATAGCTGGAGAGAAAGCAACCCCAAATCAGGATTTCTGAAACTCCATCAGAAAACATGCTGTAATTTTCCAGAGCAAAATGGTGGCTCTCTGCAATTGAAAGTGAAATGTAAATAGTTGTGCGAAGAATATGATCTCCCAAACTATGTCTGGTACATTAGTAACATTTAAGCTGTGATAATGCATTAACTCTCAGTCTAAAGTGCTACTGTGATATATTTCAATGACCCAACACCAAAACTCATTTCTGCATCTAGACAGAGCCAACAGGACAAAACCTGTCCAAACCTGGAAACCATTAGCTTAGAGACACACATTTCAAAGCCATGTGCCAAGATACAGTAGTTGGAGAAACAGCAGGTGTTACCTCTTAGTATGTGTCACCAGTTGGAGCTTTTCTGATGCAAGTATCCTGGTGCCTTGTGTATTAGAGTTGCTACAGCAAAATATTTGTCCTCAGATATCACTACCCTGATTATTTCTGGTCACGTCATACACCAGAGAAGAAAAGGGGAATCTCAGGTTTTACTTCTCTTTTTGTTTCCATGGACACAGCTTTCTAATTCTGTACAGAACCAAAATCTGCTGCCTTCATTAACTCTGTTCTTGGAGCAAACTTCCCTGTCAGCTTTTACAAGTCATTGAGGTAATTTGGGGAGAAAAAAAGCAACTAAGAAAACAGAAAATAAAACAGAAATTGGAAAATGAGCCACTTACTACAATTCCAAGTAAACAGGAAGTTATTGGTTAAGGCTGAATAGAAAGCATCTTTTAATAAATGTTCTTAGATCAAATTTTATGAGGAACTACAATTTAATTCAAAAGCTCTGTCCTGATTTTTTTCAAATAGCTCTTAGACATTATGCTTTTATTTTTCTTGCTAGAACAGCTTGTTGAATATCATGTTTAATCCATGCTTGCACCTCTTGCTTGCCAGGAATCTGTGGCAATAAGACAGCCACGTTTGTCAAAAAAAAAATGATGTTCAGGCATTCCTCATCTTGAATGCCTCCTACTCAACACTTTGTTAAAATAACTCTCAGTAATTTCCCATCATTTTACTGTTTCTCAGTGTGCAGAAACTTTTGTTCCTCATGAGAGACTAAACCTATGATGTTTCAGATATTTTAAAATGAAAACTCTTATTCTCCAGCTGTGTAATGAGTTGTTGACTAGCCTCGGGTTCGCAGCAGCCCCAGAATCTGCTCAGGGTTAAGGAAAGGATTTATTCATTGAACAGCAAGGCCAAGGGAACACAATAGGGTCAGGCTCCATCTGTACCATTTGCTGCAGAATTTCCTTCCTTCCCTGGACTGATGGGGCCTGCTGCTTGCCAGCTGCCAATTCCCACTGTCTTCCTTCTGCCAAAAAACATGCAGAGGTAGGTAGGATGTACTGGAAAACTGAGGTCTGGGAAAGAGGAAGGACTGCACTGTGCCAGAAATGTCAGGGATCAGGGAGAGGTGAACAAAAAGGTGTGAGTTTGGTATGCACCATAGAGTCCAAGGTTACATGTGCAAGGGTGTCTTGGGTGAGAACAGAAAAATGAAAGGACTTAGGAAGACAGATGTAGGGAGAGGGGAGAAGAGAGCATTTAGAACAAGCATACGCATCTTTAGGGTACTGATATTAAGTAAATTTGGAATTCCACATCATCCATTAATATATATATTTCTACCTAATAGTGCGTTTAAGTCATAAGAGTAAATTCTGGGCTATGTTTGAACAGTTTTTACATTGCATTATCATTGGTTGCTGGAGGATTTCTTTCTGCATAATAAGACTGTAAAGTAGGTACTTAAAGATACACACCAGCCACCAGTTTTCCAGGTAGTTAACATACCATCTGCAGGATTTGTTTCTTTTTTTTTTTTTTTTTTCCTGTAAGCTTTATATACAGGTAGTTAAATGTATGTTTTAAGTATCCTTTTAGACAAGTAAATATTTCTAAAGGGGACTAATATGCCTGTTCTGTGTATTTTTTAAGGTAAACTTTATCAAACCTGCTAGAGGGACTTGCTTTGACTAAAGAACAAGAAGCTGTGGTCCAAAGGTTTTTCTTTTTCTTTCTGCCAGTGGTGTTATGGTATATGAGAGACCTAGAATAAAACCAACTCTTCAATTAAGATGATAGTTTCTTCTCATCATAACGTAAACTGCAAATTAGCATCAGTACAGCACAGCAGAATTCAGTTAATGGAAGACTGGCCCTATTCCATAGAGGCATACTCCCCTTCTCATTGCCTTCCAGATACCCAAAGATTTATTGAGGTTGTCCAAAAGAACCACTCCTCTTTGAAAACATCTTTCTTAGAGTCTTCAAAATCAGTCAGCCCTTATAGAGGCTTGCCAATGATAAGAAAACCTATCCAAAGCATCTAACCTTAAAGTTTTGCACTGCAAGGCCCAGATAGCATCAGTACCTCTCAAACCTCCTCCAAATGTGACACAGTTTTACTTTATCTTTGTGTGATCTCCAGAGATGGCAGCAGTTCAGTTTCTTTTGGTCAGGGGAGGAAGAACCAGCTAAAATTACTGCAGCAGCTGTTTAAACTCATGCCTCCACCCTGGAGGACCTGGGCTGCTGATGATGCCTGCACTCTACATTTTGCAACTCTTCCTCCCCTGAATCCTCTTGCAACCCCTAAAGGAGGCCACAACCCATAATTTGAGCAAAAATGATATATACACAGAGGTCAAGTGGAGATTTACAATCCTGTTTTGGAACTTGTCTGCAGAGGTAAAGAGGAAAGAACTGTGTACATGTGTAAAGTTCTTAAAATATCTTAAAAATATCAGCTTGTGGTTACTGTGTGCATATGTAAGCACATGTATGAATGCATATAGATATGTGAACATGTGAGAATAGTAAACTTACAAAACCCACCTCATATAATAGAAAAACAGACAGAAGTCATAGAAATGTTGATTGGAAGGAATCTCTAGGGGTCATCTAGTTTGTCACCAGGGGTATGTCTAGAGAGACACCAGGTCTATCTGCCACGAGCAGTAGATCAGATCATCCATGGCTTTGGATCTGCACATTCACACACTACTGAGCCGGGTGGTAGCATTTGCCTGAGTGTGTGTTTGTGGGCACAAATCACACACTAGCCCTACCACTACCTGTTATATCAACAACTGAAATCACTGTGCGTGCTTTAATTGTGTATGTGCTACTCTACCTGTGTATGTGCTAACCCATGGGATTTTGAAAAAGAAACAAAACAAAACAAAACAAAAATCAGGTTCCAAAGTGTGGACATAAGATATCTGTTTCCTTTAAATCATAATTGTTCCTGGCTTCAGTTTATTTTTATCAAATGCAGCAGGAAGTGAGTGTCAATAAAAGGGTTTTACTGTAGATAGGCATTGCTGAAGTATACAAACATTTATTAGAGGTAGTCATGGTAACTGGGACAATGTATTAAACAGACTTAATATGCAATTCTAATAAATGAGTAATACTTTGCTTCAAAGTTAGAAACTTTTGACTATCCCAGTCATTAAACTGATTTTTCAGAACTGGTGTCAAATATATTACTGGGAATATGAGTACAAACTACTCACAGAATTACTTAAGTATAAGTAATTTTAATCAATTAAAAAATTCACCCTTCAGAGAGTGGGGACTATCTCATTCTACATAAGAAAATGATAACCTCAGTTAAAAAACCTCACAGGCATGTTATAAAAATACTTCCAGAATCAGATTATCTTGGATTTATAATACTTATCTCCCTTCAAACCAGAAATTTCTCTCCACTAGGAACAACAGTCTGACTTAAATTTGTTACATCATTGATTGATGCATTCAAATTTCACAATGCACTCACATCAATACTTGCTATGAAAACTGTCTGCAGATGCAGAACTGGGTGTTTGCCATTGAACTTCCACCAGCAGACTGTACAAACACTTCTGTATAGAAGATCACTCCTTTGATGAATAATTGCATTATTCTAGTGAGTAGCACTTTAATTGTCTTTCTTCTGTGATCAGCAGAACCTACTCAGCTCAACATGACAATCTCCTGTCATCTATGTTTTTGCTCCTGGTCATCATTAGAAGAATGAAAACCTCAAAATCAGTCAGACTGTATGAAAATAAAATGGTAAATATATTTTCCAAAATGCTGAAATCATTTTATCCTGGTTCCTTGCTGAATTTTATTTTATTTGGTACCACATATGAATACTGAGTTATTATTCCTGGGTGCTTAAGACATCAAGCTGACAGATTTGCTATTATCATAGAAAAACAACAACACAAACCTATTCTCTTAAGGGAAAGTCTTCTCCATCCCTTTTACACTGACTGATTTTTGCAATATCTTAGGCAGGTGTTAGAAAAAGAGGCCAATTTTGTACCTCCTTTTAGAGGAGGCCTTTTAATCTTTTACGTCCGAAGTCTAACCAATGAGATATGTGTAGTGTGGGTGGGAATGTGAATGTCAAGGCATCACCCTGCAAGTCCCTTCCCCTTTCTTCAGATCTGAACCGTGGATCATGCACAACTTCTAATCTTCAAATGATTCAGTTTGAATTCTTATTAGTATTCCTACCTCAGCCTGGTTTTAGAGAGAAGTAGATTAGCAGAGCAGGTATACAGCATTCTGCACATATCCACAATGATTCACAACTCTGGTGTCTCTATGTTTGCTAGTGTCATGTCACCAAAAAGAAGAAATGAAGTGCTACAGAAAATTGCATTCCAGATGAAATTGGAGAGGAATTTGAGATAAGGAAAACCCTCAAGAAGCAGAGTGAGAAAAGAGGACAGTGGTTGGTACAGAGTAGGGAGACTGTGGCTGGAAGAGTTATGTAAAGATTAGGAAGGTCTGTGAGGGTGAGCTCTGCAAGCACAGACCTGGCTTTGTTGTTGCATGTGAAAGCGGGTCCTTGTGACAGTCTTTAAGTCCTGTGTTTGCAAAGAACTTTCTGTTTTTTTTTTTTTTATTTTTGCAGGAAATAACAATTTCGTTTCTTCTGCCCTTAGTGTCCTGGTACCCTGAAACACAGTCACCTGATGTCTGTCTTCTGAGATAAGGGCAATGGAGGCATGTGCTTACATGTGGTGTCTGCAAAATACGAATATTTTTAATCCCTCTGGATATAGCCATATAAATAAAATTGAACCACTTTTGCCATCCTTTTATTTCACTTGAACTAATCTGAAGGAGAGCTGAAGGAGCAGCCTGAATGAGCACAATGAGGAAATAAGTGACTGAACATCTACCTGTTTCATCAGTGGAAATCAAAAAAAAAAAAAAAAAGAAAAAGATTGACATGCATTCCTAGATGACAAACAATCAAGGCATGTGTGTAGCTCTTGTTTTGACATGCAGCTGGCTGATCGGGACTGATTTGGCACCTTCAATAGCATTGCGTACACCATGGACAATTCCAGCCTCTAAAAAGCCTGGGTTGAAGCAGCTTTTCCCATGTCATGAAGAAGGTATTTTTTATTTGTCATATAAAAGCATTTCAGATCACAGCAAATGCCTTCCCCAGTTTAGTTAAGTACCAGTCTCATCTTTCTTGGTCATGATAAATAATTGGCACCTGTTAGAAACTATCACTTCCCGTTTCTGTTATGATCTGCTAATCTAAGGTTAATGTCATTACAGGAACTAGCTGCAGCTAAGATAGCTCCTCTAAGACAAATATCACTCATATTTGTCAGCAAGATGCTGACTGACTCCTGTGTTGCCTTGAAAAACACCGACTTCTTTAAAATGGTTCTATTATCCTCAGCTCCTTGCTGCAACTCTTCTATGTCAGACTAAGCTAAAGGGAGATCCACCTAGGTCCAGGAAAAGGAGGCATAAGATTTTAAGAGCAGACCTTAAATTCAGTTTATCACTGTTGTTTTCTCTGGCTTGGAGGAAAAATGAGGACCAATACTGAATGCTCACGAAAATGCAAAGTTGGAAAACAAGATTTAGACATTGGAAAGAGAATGCAGAAAGTTCCCTGGTTATTCCAGAAAGAAGCTGAAATGCTGAATTTTTATTAGTAAGCACTTTGAAAGAAGATTTAAATGAATGTGTTCAGTAGGCCCTTATAATGGCCTTCTGAATATAATTATATAATAATATACCATCAGCTAGTACCATTGGGTTTCTAAAAATCCATGAGAAATAAAATACTGTACAGCAAAATCTTTGGAATAAGTGCCCAGTCCTTCTTTTTTTGATGAAGGCAAGATGTAAGCATGCCAGTCGGTCATTAATATCACTGTGTGCATCTGCATCAAACAGTGTGAATAATTATTAATAATAATAAAGCAATTGTGCTACATCTGTTGTTAAAAAGTAACAAATATTTTGTGACAAGAACAAATCATTTAAAATGAAAAAAAAAATTCTCAGTGACACTGTAAGCTTGAAATGGCAAGTGTTGCCATAAATTCTGCTTCCTCATAACATTGATTGCTTTCATGTAAGTTGCTCATTTACATTAATTTATGATATAGCCTGTATGGCAACTGGATGCTAATGGTAGTTAAAGCTGCAGGAGAACAAGCTTCTGCTTGTGAGCGCTTACTATCTTATCTCCAATATTGTCTCAATGTTAACCTTTGCATTATTAAATTTTTGCATTTTATTTCTTTCACAGAGAATCACAGGATCACAGGATGATTGAGGAATCTCTACAGATTGTCTAGTTCAACTCCCCCCGCTCAAGCCTTTCCATGACTTGTCTCAATAGATTGACCAGGGCAGCTACAGAGACCATACTATTGGGTTTCTATGGATCCTGAAAACTCCTGAATTCTGAGCCTGAGCCCTGGCTGTGAGGTTTCTGAAGTTTATTCCAAATGCTGCAGAGTGTATATGTATAGTTCAGGATTGCCTAGTGATACACGTATGCACACAGTCCTCTAAACACAGTCATCTGGGAGTATCTATGTATAGACAGATATTTCTAGATAGAAATATAGACACATATATTTATATTTCTGGCACAGATATATGTAAATATGCATATTTAGAAATTCAATGGATTACAGTGACTGTACTACTAAAATATATTGAAGATCTAAATGGGAAGTCATCACTGAAACAAGAGAAAGGCAGTACATAAATCATCCCTTAAAGCATGTTAGAGGAGTATGCCATCTCCAACTCTGTACTTAAAAAAAATTCCAACCTTTAAACTATCCTTTTCTTGTAGATCAAGATATGATAAAATGACATCTGTTTTGTGCATCATAACTCTTGCCCAATCAGCATTTACAGTTATAGAGAATGTATATATTTATCAAATCCTGGGCAGAACGTGCAAAATTCTTTTCACATTCAATAGCATGGTGTCTTTGACTTTTTGTTTTCAACAATCATTCTGTACAAGCTGAGCATGAAGGACTTAGGCTATGATTCAACTCCCCTTCATTTTATGTTTGCAGTGTATAGTGGAGAATCAAACTGAATGATTCTACATACTAAATCATTCAGTATTTCACTCTGTGGCACTCTGATGGCCTAAAGAAAATATGCGTGTTTCTTGGGACTCACTTTATTTGAAAGTAAATAATACTTCCTAAAGGAAGACATATTTATGACTAGAAAAAGAAGACAGTGGCTTGTGCATGTGTGATCCACTCTGTGTATATTTATTCATCTACCTGCTTGGGCAATATGTACATAATAATGTGGAATAATTCAAATAAAGCAAACTGCTCAGTCTTTTTTAATGATGAAGTATAAAAGAATGTGCATAAAGGATTTTTATACTGAACTTCCTTTCCTCTTAAGCTAGGAAGGAATGAAAAACCTGCAATGTTTCTTTATAACTCCAGCAAATTTGGGTATTTTTAGCCTGATCTGGACAACAATAAAAATGTATTCCTAATATTCTTACAGCACCAGGCTTTTATAGCAATCCAAATAACTCCTCCAAAACCATCCTGTAGCATCTTTTAGATGAAAAACAGAAAGCCAAACTCAGTGGTTACCCTCTGAGCTGGCCTGGAGCATAGGACACTATTAATTAAAACCCCAAATTGCTTCCCACAAAACCTGCTGTATGGATGGCAAAGGACCAGATATCACTATTAACTACTAGGCATATACCTTGTGTTTTGTGACTGAGAAGGTCCTGGTGTGCCTACAGGACTGCTTCTGGCTTTGGGGTTCCTCCCCACATGCTCAGGACATACAGGATTTGGGCTGAAGCTATAAAACTGCATGCCCTGAGAGACCTCAGCTGAACCTCCCTTAGAGATGTTTTCATGTTTTAATTTAAACTTTTGGAGACTAGAGAAAGGAAGCTGAGGAGAGTGGTGAGGTTTCAACCTAACAGAGCATGAGAAATCAGTATCCCAGCTTCCAAGGCAGGAGCGCCAATCACTTGCCCATAAGATAAGAGATATCTGTCTCATATTCCAGCAGAAAGACAGAAAAAAGGAGTGATTTTTCCCCATGTTCTTTAAAAAATGGGTAAAATATGGGCATTGCAATAACCAATTAATGTGCCTTGGCACTTTATGAGTTACATCCTCTAAATATTTATCTAAGGTTCTCTGCAAATATTTATCTAAATACAAACACCCTGACTCTAGGGTGATTCTTTTTTTTTTTCATTTGTTTATCTATACATGAGTAATAACCCTTACATACCGGATGTTTCACCTAGGTGGTTTATGGTCTAGTCTTAAAAAAACAAGGCAGTGAACTTTAGAAATCTTTTCAACTGTGGTATAATTCTTAGAGACACATTGCCATGTCTGTGGAACAAAAATGGTGCACGTGGCTTCTGTAAACAATTATACGGACCCAAAAGATTTCATATTTCAATGCTTTCAAAAAATTGCTCAAAGATGCTTCTTTGCAAGATACCTGGTGAAATCTCTGCTGTCTCAAGTTGCCTTTCCTTGTGTTATCAATGGGAACCTTTGGAAATGATATGAAAAATGAGGGGCGGAAATAGGACTCATCAAACCATAGTACAAAAGCTAACCCTCAAAATACTATGCAGAGTGGTCTTTATCTGAGGAAGGTTTTGCTTTCTGCAGGCAGAAAGTTGGAATTTATAAAGTAAACTGTTCATTACCCCAGTTTCAACCAAGCAGGTGTGTGATGGATGCATCAAGGTGTGAGCATACATGCAGCACAATGCCCAAACCAGCAGATAATAAAAGATACTCGTACTGTGACAAGAATAATATAGTCATTTTGAGCACTTCAAAACATTGATCTTACAAGCAAAGTACTAAAAATCCATCAAAGTACTGAAATCCATCTTTATTCCTTTTCCTAAGGCACTAAAATAAATGAACTCAGAGATCTAGGGGCCTCATAGAGACATGACACATTTTCATTTCCCCCATCTCCATTGGAGATAACAGTGGATCCCTGAAGGCTGTTCTCCTTGTATAGTTAAGACTAATGCCTTGTGCTTGATGACATTAAAACCTGCTTCTGCCACTGCTTCTTCTGCTTCGATGGGAGACTGACAACAGAAAGAAAATTTCCCTGCAGCCTGTCTCCCTCCATCATGCCGAGAAAGGAATTCCCGTGGCCAAATACAAGCGAGAAAAACTCAAGCTGTGCCTCTGCAGCCCTCTCTGTCTGCTGGCCTGCTGTGGGGGTCCCTTCCTGCCCTACAGAGAACAGCAGGGCACCAGGCGCCCGGTCTGTGCCACAGAGGTTGCAAGGCTAAGCGGTCATTTACCTTTGTGCTGCTTTCAGTCTCTTTCAGGCAATATGAGAAAAGAACTACTTTTTTTTTTTTTTTTTTTTCTCCCTGTCACATGACATAAAAACTTCATAGTGGGGGAGCTAAGGTCTGCTTAACCTTGATAGGATTTTTCTAAGATTTATTAAAAGTTTGTTCTCTTTTTTTTTTTTTTTTTTTTTTTTTTTTTTCCTACAGTGGGGGTAAAAAAAAAAAAAAAGCGCAATCATTCACATATATCTTTGCTGGATATAATTTTCTTGCATCTAGATCTTTAAAGATTAGCATGTCACAGGCATCTCCGTTACTTAGCAACTGGGATAAAGCCAAGAAAAAGACCTAAATATCAATTCCTTGTGAGGAGTATAAACACTAATACAGTAAGCTTTAAACTCTGAAGGAGTCTTCCCTTTATTACTAATGAAACCATCGTGCCTTTTCCAAACATAATAAAGAAATTGTCATCTTAATGAACTCTGCTGCTATTGATCCATGTCTACTTTTGAAGCAAACCTTGTGCTTTTCAAATGTTTTGCCTTCACAGCTTTATGCAGTAAATCTTTCATATTAGCCCCCGAAACATCAAAATTACTTCAGTGACATCTGGCCTGATGAAAGCAAACAAGATAATTCCTTATCTGGGGAGGTCTGAAAGAGAACCTGAGCTCTGAATAATCCCAGATATTGTGGCAAATTGCAGATCCAATCTGATCCTAATGTTTTGCCTTAGACTTTCCCCCTTTGTGAAGGGCAGCTCTGTTCTGTGAAAGTACAGAGGAAAAGTGGCACCACAGATCTTTTTTCCCCTTTGTACCTATTCATAAAGCTATTCACTGGAGCCAACAAGCAAAGTTTGTATTCTAGTTGCTCCCAGAGTCATTACACACTGGAAAGGACTGCTCATTAAAACGGTGATGGGAGCCAAGTCTCCACCAGGATTCCAGGAGGAATGCAATCCCTTGTGGCTTGGAAAGCACCAACAGGACTTGCAGAAGGATTCCCAGTACTTCCAGGGGGTGAAAATGTCTCTAAGCTCCCATTCCTATAGGCCAAATATGACCTTCCAATTGAGCTAGCTATGAGCAGAACTGAGAAGTAATGGTTTTACACAGATGCAATGAAAAGTAGAATTTGACCCAAAGACTCTTCTATACTTGTACTAGTGTGTTTACTCTCTAGGTGCCAGTAAAGCTTGCCAAGAAGGACAGTCAGAAAAACAGTATTTTCTGAGTAAAATAAACAGATATGAGAAAAGACAGTGAATGTCTACAGACTCTGTTTTGCCCTGTGCAATCACTTGCCATGGTAGTACTGAATTTAAACAGTTTAAACTAAATTCTGCTTCACTTATTCCTATAATTCCACCAATGTCAATGTTTTACACTGCACATACACCTTCTTGATAGACTTTTGCCTAGTCAAGAATGTCTCTGATTAAATTATGTAATAATTGCCTTGAAATATCAGCCAGTATAAGGTACATAAAAATCTCTCAAATGTCTGAACTTCTTAAGTACAACTCTTTCTCTCATTGCTGCTATTATTTGCCTTTTCTGATATTCATTCTGGTCTTAATCAGAAACACACGAAAATCCATACCTGTGGACGGCATCAGATGGGATTCATCCTCCCCAAAAGGGGAAGAGGGTCCTTGGTAATGAGCTGGCAAGGGTCATTGAGAAGGCTTTAAAATAGATTGAATGGGGTAGGGGGGGAATCATCAGGAAAGCAGGAGATGAAGTAGCGGATTGCACACCATGCCACTCATACCTGTCTAACTCTAGAGCCAGTGAAGGGTGCCCAAAGCCTGAAGAGGGAAACAGCAAAATAGGAAAACTACTTAAGGCTCACAGTCAAGTTACAGCTGCCCCAGCTAGAAAGAGAGGCATATAGGGTGCCCAACTCAAATGCCTCCACGTAAAAACGTGGGGAACAAACAAGAGGAACTGGAGATTCGTGAGTGGTTGCAGGGGCATGATCTCATTGCAATTACTGAGACATGGTGGAACAGCTCTCATGACTAGAATGTGGCCATGGAGGGCTTCAGGCTTTTCAGGAAGGACAGGCAAGGAAAGCGAGGTGGCGGAGTTGCTCTTTACATAAGACAGCAACTGGAATGTATGGAGCTTAGCATAGGGGAGGACAAAGTGTGAGTCAAGGGCCTGCAAGTGCCAAGCGCTCACATTAAAGTGCTCGCCAAGAGGGTCAATAGTGTTGTGCATGTTTATCACAGGCCACCTGAACAGGAAGAGGAAGTGGATGAGGCCTTGAGGCAGCAGCAAGAAGCCTGATAATCACAGGTCCTGGTCCTTATGGAGGACTTCAACCGCCCTGATGTTTGCTGGCATAAGCATACATCTAGAAACAGACAGTCCAGGGCAGTCCAGAACATTGTAGATAATTTCTTGATGCAGGTGACAGATGAGGAGAGGGGCCTGCTAGACCTGATACTAATGGTTTGGTCAGAAATGGGAGGGTTGGGGGCAGTCTTGACTGAAGTGACCATGAAATGTTGGAATTCATGATTCTGCCTGGGGGAAGCTGGGCAAGAAGTAGGATTGCAAGCCTGGACTTTAGGAGAGCTAACTTCAACTTAAGGGATCTACTTGGAGGAATCTCCTGGGCCAGGGTCCTAGAAGGAAAGGAAGTCTAGGAGAGCTGGCAAATATTCAAGCACCACTTAATCCAAGCTTGGGATTAGTGCATTCCTACAAGAAAGAGGTCGAGCAAGGTTAGCAGGAGACCTCCATGGATGGGTAAGGGGCTCCTTGCAAGACTTGTGGAGGAAAAGAGGGCATGCAGAATGTGGAAGAAGAGCCACACTGCATGGAGGGAATATAGGAACATTGTCAGAGAATGCAGGAATTCATCAAGGAAGGCCAAGGTCCATTTGGAATTAGAGTTAAC